TCTGGTTAGCAGTCAAGTGCCTTAGGCACTATGCTACCCGAGCCCCCATATACCTAAGGTATAAGGAGAAAAAAATGTGTATCTCATGCATGCCTTGCGGACTCACGAGTCATATTACCAAATGGTGCAGCATTAGGGTTTCTGTCCTGAGGCTTAGTATGTGCATCAGTTTCAGACTCATTACAGGTGGACCCTCAAGGGTTTGTAACTGCTTAATTGAGTCATGGGTGTTTCCCCATTAAGTTAAAGATAAAGGACTTGAGTAGGAAACTGAAACCTAAAGAGTTCTGTCAATAAAATCGTTATAGGCTCTAGTTACACCATTTGAGGGCTGAGGAGTTCCCTGCAATTTAATGTTCTTCCATGCTGGTAAAGATAATGTGAGAGAAAGACATTGTTTAGGAGGGGGGAAAAAAAAAAAACCCTTGTGATTATGCATATTAAGAGTCACCTGTGGTTTATAATAGCTGCATGTATTACTATAATAGTTAAATATAACTTAAGTTTAATATATCAACCATACAGAAAAATTAAAATTTCCTTTCCCCATCAACTCCATGAAACTATTAAAGTAGCCATTTTTTTTAAAGCATTTCTTTTAGTCCTTTTGATAGTTACCTCTAAAACCCCAAAATCAACTCCCTTCCATGAAAGATGAAGAACCTGACTACCTTTATTCTGTTGTCCATCTTATTTTAAACTTTGGTCTATTTTGACTTAAATGACATACTTACACTTTTCATAGTTTCTTTTTAAAAAAGAAATTAGCACACAGTCTTTCTTCTGCCTTTCTTCCCTGCCCTTCTTCCAACACCTGCCAGCCATTTTTATTTATTTTATTTATGTCCTACTCTGGCTTAGTGCTAAGGCACTTTACTGCTAACCAGAAGGCTGGCAGTTCAAACCCATCAGCCACTCCTCAGAAGGAAGACTGGGCAATCTACTTCCGTTGTGATGCCATCTTGGAAACTCAAAGAGGGGTCGTTATGAGTCAGAGTTGATTCAAAGGCAGTGAGTTTGGTTTTTTTTGTTTTGTTTCCTAGAACTACAGAAAAACTCCTCGATTTTGCAAACATTTTAAACAGTAATATGTTTAAATATGATAATAGATAATGACTAAGACCAATGAAAGAAGTGTTACAAATGCACATGTGTAGTAATGTAGAAATTACTAGTGAAAAGGTCAAATGGATTCTCTCCTTAAATGCCATCAATTGCTCAAAAATCTGCTACATATTATTTTGCTTCAGGAATGGACCATGAGTTTACTGTACAGTTTTCTGCTTTTCTTCAATAATTGCATTTATTTTTGTTGTTAAAAGAATAAAGCTATTCTCATCTTATCCTTAAAATTATTCAGCTTCTTGATGATAACATCTGGGATTGACTTCAAAATGGTGGGGGTGAGGGAGGATAAAAATGAAACAAAATTGGCTAAATGCTGATGGTTACCAAAGTTAGGTGATAGATTCATCATTATATTGTATTATATATTATTATATTATTCTCTCCCCTTTTATATGTTTGAAAACTTCCATGATATAGTTTTTCAAAAGACGACCATTCAACTTCTTAAATATATTTATTCTTACTTCTTCCTGTTCTTTGAATATTTAAGAGGTTGGTAGGCAGGCTGGATAACTACCTCTACTACAAATTTCTCCCTTTCATGCTCTGAGCTACAGCTCCCACTACTCTGATTCATCCTTCCACTGTGCGCCCTCCACAGAATTACCGATCTGTTGATATCCCAGTATTATTTTCATAATTTTTATGAATTCTTTATGCCCTTTTACTATAATTTATCATGTGCTAATACTATGTCAAGGAGCTCTGGTGGTGCAGTGGTTACAGTGCTCAGCTGCTGACCAGAAGGTCCATGGTTTGAACTTACCAGCTGCTCTGCAGAAGAAAGATGGGACAGACTGCTTCTGTAAAGATTACAGCCTTGGAAACCCTACAGGGCAATTCTAGTCTATACTATAGGGTCACTATGAGCTGGAATTGACACGAAGGCAATGAATCGGTTTGATTTTGGTTTTTTGGTAATACTGTGTCAAGGTCCCTAGGTGGAGCAAATGGATTGGCAGTTCACAAATACTCAGCATGCTAGGGATGACGATCTGCTTCTGATCAGATTGAAGACAAGAAAATCCTATAGAGCAGTTCTACTTTGTTACACATGAGATCACCAAGTTGGGCCTGATGACAACTAATAACAATGCTTAGTCTACCATCTTGAATTAGAAACCCTCCATCTATTTTTAAAATTCAAGGACAGAATATCAGAAGAAGATATGCTCTTTACCAGATGGCCCTGACAACAAATGTGTTTTCTCCCATGATCCTCCATTGGCCTCATTGTCTATTATTTAATGTCACCTTTTTCAATATCTCTTACTGCTAGCCCTATAAAACCACTGAGAGGGAGAAACATATTTATAATTCTAAAGGACCACTGAACTATCCTGAAACTATTACCAAACCACACATTCTTCAAAACTGTCTTAGCAAACCAACAAACAAAATGTAACAATCAACTATTGAATATACTTTGAATATACATTAAAAAGACATAATACAGATTGCCCAGACGGTAGATATTCAAAGAACAATATACAGAGCAAAAATCCTCATTTATACTTTCCAGGAAATGAAAGCAATTAAACTTTACATGTGATAAATGAATCTCCTATCTTGTAGATAGGAGATCTTGTAGATAAGAATAAAATTATTTTATTGCTTGGACCTTTACATATGGTTCGAAGTAAAGACCATACCTTCCCCTGGTTTTGTCTACAGGATTTTCTGGAGAGACCCTTGAACCAGGTCTTTGATGATGGACAGACTGAGACTGGGAATCTGGGCTGTAACGATTTGATGTTTTAGTCCTCACAGGTGTAGACACCAAAGCAGATGGTGAATTTTGGAATGTAGAAGTAGGAGGCTGCTGTGAAGGCTGTGAAGAAACTTGATTTCTAGTCAAATCTTGTGTGATAATTTGCTGTGAATGAATAAAGGAAGTGGTTAAATTTATTAAGTACTTGCAAAAGAAGAAAAAATAGCATAAAAAAAATATAGACGTTGTTATTGTGGTTTTTCCCTTTCTATATAAATGTGCCTTCTGCATGATCAAAAAAAGAAAAATTAATTGCACAGTAAGATGATGATCAACTTACACAGATATGATCAGCAAGTGTAATCAATCGGTGGGTCCTGGGCACTTGCCCTATCCCCTCTGCCTGTGAAGAAGGGGGCAGCTGCTGTTGTGGAGATGGCGATTCTTGCTGTGGTCGATAGTGATGTAATGGTCCTTCATACTGTCTGGTGGGATCATCTAGTAGAAAATAGAATATTTCTTACTCCAGAGAGGCCCTCTACCTTTTACTCATTGTCAAAAAATAAACATTTAAGGGATTTGGAACATAACCCTAAACACAGAATTTATGTATATTAATCTGAAGAAAAAAATGTTAAGAGAAGTTGGAGGACTAGTAAAATAATATATGAAGACAAAAATGGGCAAACAATATCAATTATTTTCTATCATTAAAATATAAACAACCAGTAATCAATAATAGCTTAAAAGTAGTCCCATATAAAAGTATCCCTAAAACAAAGCAACTAAAAAAAAGTTATTTCTTAACAGTCTGGATAGATAACTAGACGGAAATGATAAATGCACATATGAATACATGTAAACTGGTGGCTAAAAAGACATACTTTCTGCTTGACTTGTCTTAACAACCTCTGCTTGATAGGCCTGTAGCTTTTCCTGGGGCGGTGCAGGTGAATTGGCAGGACTTATCACCTCAATAGCATCGCTAGGTGTTTCATATCGGTGAGAAGATACTTTAAGAAAAAAAAAGAATCTTATTTTACAACTAATCCTATGAAAAGTTAAAAAAGAACAAGTTCTTCAAACCTATTAGCATATTTTCTTTCTTTCTTTTTTTTTTTTTTTGTTCAATAGCACTCTAGGATTTTCCAAAATTCTGTGCACTCTAAGACCTTTAATTAAAAAAAAAAAGCCAATAATAAACAGTGAGGTGAAGCAGAATAGAGAACAGATTTATGATCTGGAAAATGGAAGAAAAAAAAAAAAAACACAAGGAAACATTCATCAGAGAGATTAAACAAATGAAAGAGTATAGGTCTTAACAGTTAATTGATTACAACATTTCCATTTTTGTGGGAAAAATCACCCTTAGAAAAACTTTGAGACTATAAAGCTGCTTTCTTACCATGATAGTTTTAAAGCTATAGAATGAAGTGACATTATATTAATGCTTTTTTCAAACAACTGTTGTACTTGGCAAAAATTACTCCAACTTTGTCATCATCGTGTTACATGTTACATTGTAAAAATAAACAGAAATGGGTGCAGAATGCATGAAGGAAATCAAATTTTCTCCCTTTGACAAAAGGAGGATGGCAGCCAACGCAGGAGGACATCCAAGTCAGAAAAGGGACAACAGCACAGCCATTTAGGGCCTATAAATGTGAGTCCAAAGAAACTGAGAATCAACACAATAGTGGAACATAGCTTTTCACAGTCCTTCTATGGCCTCAATACTGAGAATGGGAAAAAAATATTAAGCAACAATGACAAACCCAGAAACTAAGTTTGCTCAGGAACCTTCTGACTTTAGATTACTGTTTGCATCTACTAGCTGTACCAAATAATCTGAGAAAAGGGTAGCACTATGCCTTGGCTGGACACAGGTACAGAAATTGGGAATAAACTCTACTACTAGGCTCCTCTAGTACTCACTGAACAGCCATCCCATCCCCAAAAACAAGACTGGAAATTGTCATTACCCAGGTTCCAGTATGCTCAGAACAGAAACTTGATAATTACTATAAACAGAGTAATTTATAACTTTAGTATCTACTACTCATCACTATCCAAGTATCCAATATCCTAAATCTACTTTGCACCTCCAATATACAGTCAGCAGAAAACCAGATCCTGAGTGGTATTTACACTACTCTTTAATCCTTAGGATTAAGGCTAAGGCTGTGTTTCACCATTAGGGTAAAGGAGGTTCTGAAGAGTCAAACTGAAAACTCAGACTCAAAGAGAAGAGCACAATGGGTAAATGTAGTTTGTGGACTTCAAATAAGTTATAAGCAACAATGATAAACCCAGAAACAAGACACAGGAAAGAAGCTGGGATTTCTATTTTTAGATCCTCTGAAGGTCAAACTCTTAGAACAAGGTTTGGTTTGAAATACAAATAGAAGTGTTCAGTAATTATGGACCTCTGGTGGTGTAACAATTAAGTACTTGGCTGCTAACCAAAAGGTTGGTGGTTCCAACCCACCCAGTGGCTCTGCAGAAGAAAGATGTTAAGGACCAGATTCTATAAAGGTTATAGCCTAGGAAACTATATGGGATAATACTTCTCTTTCACATGGGGTCCTGGATTCAAAAATTAACTTGATGGTACCTAAAAATGTTAATAATCTAGTGATTAGGGAATCAAGCATTAGAGGAGATTCAGGAAGTCATAGACAGGTTGGAGCACCATGTGTGCTGGTGACTTAACTCTCAAAAGGCCTATTCAGATAACTTCATATATCTCCTTTGTTGTTGTTATATGCCGTCGAGTTGGACCCGACCCACAGCAACCCCTCCTTGGGTTTCCGAGGCAGTATCACTACAGAAGTAGATTGCCCCATCTTCCTTCTGAGGAGTGGCTGGTGGGTTTGAACCGCCAGCCTTCTGGTTAGCAGTCAAGTGCCTTAGCCACTATGCTACCAGAGCTCCTTTAGTTAGCCATTTTCTTTCTGTATGTATAATACCTGTTTTATGAATTTTCCTAATTCTAGGCTAAAAATAATTCCATCTTCCACTCAACAGAGTACCAAATTGCTCCCTCTCTCCAAAACCCTCAACAATAGTGTGACAGTCACACAAATAAGTTATCGTCGTTGTTGTTAAGTGCCGTCGAGTCGTTTCCAACTCATAGCGACCCCATGCACAGCAGAACGAAACCTCAACAATAGTGTGATAGTTACACAAATAAGTTATCGTTGTTGTTGTTAAGTGCCATCGAGTCGTTTCCGACTCATAGCGACCCCATGCACAGCAGAAGCTATCGTTAGGCAAGTGGAAGTTTGGAAGTAAAAGAACTGTGCATTACATTCAAGCACATGAGAAATTATTTTTCCTTTTCCCTAGCACTACTCAATTTCACTAAAGGAGATAACAGAGATGCCTGTGATTACATTACTTCATGTATTAGCAGATGACTTTGAATATCTGCTTGTTCTTGCCTACATAGCAGTTGTTAAAAAGAAATTAAAAGTAACTTTGCTAGTATTTTAATGTAGATTCATGAATTCTTACAGATTTGTACAGTAAACTTCATGGTGACTAACCAGATTTGATCAAATTCTAACTTACAAGAGAGATGAAATATAAATACCAATTACCAATAACAAAGTAGTCTCACTTTCAGAAAAATCTTTATCTTAATACAGACTGATAAATATTAAACCCCATATTAGAAAAGGCTTCCTGAGAAATTCCTCAATAGCCTAGTGCATGATATATTTGACACCTTTCAGATGACTGAAAATATTTGAGAGATCTTCTCTCTGGCCACCTGCCAACTTTTAATTCTACAAAGGGTATAGTTTCCTCATACAAAATACATTGATGGTTTTATAGTTAGTAAACTCTGATATTTAAATAATCATTAAAAATATTATTAGACATTTTTGCACTGCTAAACCACAAAACTTTTTCTATAACATATATATGATAGACATTTGGAATTTTTTACCATATATTTCTGCTTTACCTAAAGAATAAAGTAATTCTTTATTCATATATCACATCGCAAAACTCAGATTGAGATACATACAGCTACTAGAAGAGTCTGAACTTTGAGAGCCACGTTCCCTTGCATCCTTGTCCGAGGCAATTTGCCGAGTGATGATCACGTCTATGAAGTTAGCTGCAGTAATGGTAGTCTTCCCTCGGGTCCTTAGCTCTTCCTCATATCTGGATTTTGGAGGAGGCCCTTTATCTTTCCCAGCCTCAGAATAAACTACTGAAGAATGAGGCTGGGGCTTGCCACTTGGAAAGGCTGAAGAAGTATACAGACACTGAACAGATCTCTTCTCCACCTCCAGGGTTTTCTGCTCTAGCTGCTGCTGTTCACTAACTGTTGCTGACCTGCTTCTCAAATTTTCTTCTAACCTGGCAGCTTCATGCTTACTCTCTTTTGTTTTGGAAACATCCATCTGGGGTGCAGAAGCTGCAGCATCCACAAGAGCAGCCAAGGCATCCGCAGCAGTGTTGTAACGGGAGGCTGGCAGGCCTTGGCTTATTGAAGGACCTCCAGCAGGCAGTGGCCTGTAAATAAAATTAAATCACAACTCTGTGAAGGGGAGACAATTATTAACTTGGGGCAGGGGTGGTGAACAGGAATGACAAATTGCCCCCCCCCCAAATCATTATTATACTTACGTTATTATAAATCACAAATCAAAAAATGTATATGCAATGAGAATAGTGTTTTTTGTGAAAAAGTGTGTAAGAGACTTACATGATTCGTAGCTGAGCAGTTGGATCCAAAGGTGTGATCACACTAGTTCCGTTGGTTCCCTGGAAAACGCTGGGTCTCTGTTGCAACATGGTCTCCTGAGTTCTCATTGAGGGGGATGGTGAGCGAACATATCCATGACTACCAGGCCTGCCAGGCTGTTCTGAGCCTGTGGGAGGTGAGGGGAGAGGAAGGAAGACAAGTAGTAAAGAAGAAGCTGGCAGCAATGGATTGTTAATTTCCCAATATTCCTAGCTGAAAAAAAAAAAGGAAAATGGCTAAGACACTTGATATCATATTTACTGGAAACATGTTCTGTTAACAGTTTCTGAATAATGATGATTTAAAACCACACTAATAACCTGAAATAAAAACATCAGCTTATCATGTATTATCATTTTAATTTTTGTGACAGGTTTCAATCTTGATTAATGAGGAAAATAAAAACACCAACAATTAAATAATAATACAAATCAGGTGAGTTCACCTCTCACATTTATTCTCAAATTCTAATGTTTTTACCATTTCCAAAATCAAATTGGAGAAGACTAAGTATCACAATGAAAATAACATACTACTGCCACACTAAGATCTGAGGCTGTTTCATGTTTTTCCTGGCTTCATTCCTTTGTGCCCTTGTTTCTCTTAACAATTCTCATCTGAGGTGACATCATTCACATTGCCTGCCCAAGAAGCTAGGCTCCAGTAATTAAACTTCAGTGCATAAGATCTGTTTGCTCATTTAATCTTACATAGGTCTCCCATTAACAAAGCTACAACTTGGACTTGAACTCTGAAATCCCCTCTCCTATCATTTCCTTCTCTATCACCTCTTATATGTTCTCACTCCAACTTTCTAACTTGTTTTTCACCCTGATAGTTTTAGCATACAGCCCTGTTCTCATAGCCATTGCCACCTAAGTCGTGCTTTTTCAGCTGTTTTCCACATTCTGTCTATACATCAGCTTATGTTGGGTTTCTGAGGCAGTATCTCCTCAGAAGTAGATCGTCCAGTCTTTCTTCTGAGGAGTGGCTGGTTGGTTTGAACCACCAGCTTTCTGGTTAGCAGTCAAATGCCTTAGGCACTATGCCACCAGAACTCCTGTATATTAGTATTTCTGTAAGGTATATTCCTAGAAGTGGAATTGCTACATCAAATTTTTATTTAAAATGCTTTATCTATTTACTACATAGCCACTGACAAAGTTTGAGAGTCAATGTTTCTTCACATACTCCAACACAAAATATTTATCAACCTTCTTAAATGTCTAATGGAGAAAAATCGTTTTTTGACTGTCTTAAATCTGCATTTTGCTCATTAGTAGGATCATACTCTTAAAATCTACTTCCTACCAAAATTATGGGGAGCTCTGGTAGCATAGTGGCTAAGACACTTGCCTGCTAACCAGACGGCTGGCGGTTCAAACCCACCAGCCACTCCTCGGAAGGAAGGTTGGGCAAT